CCAGTTCAGTGCTGGATTTGGCTAAAATCTCCTCAGCGGAAGCTGTGCTCTACAATCAGTAAGTGTTTTTATTTGTTAAAATTGATCCTGACATGTACAGTGTCTAGCGTTAACGATATGCTGTAGCAACGATGTAAACAATGTGAAATGCTGCTTTGCGGCAAACGATTTAGCTACAAATTCATATTAATCAGTCAAACTGCTGTAAACATACACACACTCCACCAGCACGTTCGTGTCTCTTATGTGTATGCGCACGGGACTGCACTGATTGTCTTCAGGCAGCTTTTCCATGCCTTTCACATCTCAGATAATGAAGTTGCAAAAGATATGTAGATGATTCATTTTACTTACACCTGCTTATTCCGGATACACGTGAAAGCAATTGTGTAACGCATAGAGTTTAAAAAAAAAAACAGGTTAGCTTACCTGACTCATGGTCGCAGCAGAATAATAAATCAAGGCTCAACAGGTAGCATCCCACATCTTGTGCTTTAATCTTCGATCGCGATATATTACAGAAAATAACTTAACCCGAGCATCAGAGAAAAAGAAAGTCCCGCACACATGCGCTTGTTACAGAAAGTTCACACATTCACACACACAGAGGCAGACAAACATTAACACCGCACACACAATTGCAAACTCTTAAAGGAGCCACACCCCATTTTCACTCGTTACACACACTTGTCAGATTTTATTTTAGAGCAGGCAGGACGTTGACTGCATGTTTACACACCAGAAAAGCGCGTGCTTTTAAGGGTGGGACGTGGAGCCGATCCGCGAATAGCAGCAAATTATGACTTTGACCAATCGGAGTCACTTAAGGGCAGGCCTTTCAGAGGAACTAGGAAATATGACAGTCGTTTTTATGTTAGCTGAGTAGCTGTGTATAATCAAAGTGAGATATATGAAAAACTAACACAATTTTCTTTAAGTGAAACATGAGCACACATTGCTTTTCATCTTATAAACACAACCAATCCTTAAAATTACATTGTGGACCACCCCTTTAAGGGCCGTCTTGTGCCATGGCGCATGGTCTAACAGGGTTGAACTTATTCTCTTAATGAGTTGTAGGTGTTTTGAGAATAAACCAACTAAAGTGTCATCTCCCATTCCCTTTAAGAATATGTTGTGTTGCGCATTTGCTATTTAAATGACGGACTTTGTAAGTGGAAAAACTGAATGCTTCACTAGAGAGCAAAGAGTTAAACAGAGCATCTACAGTGCGAGAATGAGCCTCCTCATTCTTTACTATCACTCTCTTGGATACTCTCTTGTAGTACGCACAGACATTCATTAGCCTATACATAAGAGAGATCCGGCATGGTGCCGTAATACTTTAAGCCCTGGGCTCTCATGGTGAGTACGCACAATGCGTACAGCCGTATAGCTGCATGTGCCACTGCTCTCATCCTTCCAACAGAGTTTGTTCTAATACATTATAAAAGCCTGGCTTCTTATTCAAATTTCTAATAAACAGTTAATATAGGCTTCTTTAAAACTGTGAATATTTCACTTTAATTTGATTTAGGCTAGATTATTATTTTATTTAACAAACCAACACAATCTCATGGCAACTCGTATTTTGGTGCTGAAGCATATAGCAGAATTGTTTTGAAGCACTTCCCCTCAAAGGTTATTTGTTATTCTTTTTTAATTTAGTGGTTAACTGACCAAAAAAAAAATACATTAGATTATACAAATAATAGCAAACGAAAATTGTTTCAAAAATATATTTTTTCCAAGAAAAATATAATAGTTATTATTTTGTTTGTGCCTGTCCAACTGTTCCGCTCCTTGGAAAATAAGGATTTAATCAATACTTCACTGCTTCACAGCTGCTGGCAGCATGCTCAGGTGAAGTGTTTAATAGCAACATTGCCAGGAAAATATTCATTTAGATTTCAAGGAAAATATCTTAATAAAAAGAAATTACAAGTTTGATCCTATCGATGTCATAATGAATATCTTTTAATAATGTAGCCTAGTTGTCTTTTTTTAAGATTATCTGGAATGAAGGAATTATAATGCTTTGTTTCATTGTTTACCTTTATTTACAAGTTGCAGAGTATTTACAGCTAATGTATAGGCCGTTCAAATCCTGTCCCTTTGTGCCCCCTGGCGGCATATGTATATGCACATATATGCATTGTATCATATCACTCAACAATTACTGTGGTTTTAATTTTTATTTTATATGGAGGTTGATACTAATTCCTGCCTGTATTTTCAGATACATTAAATGCACAAAATACAAATCAAAGTACATCTCTGTCAGTCCCTTCTGTTGCATATAATTATAATTTAGTCTATATTTTATTCACAACATGTAACTCAGGAGCAGTAATGGAAGAAAAGTCTTTGTTGCCTACAGATTAGGGTTGGATATCAATTTTTTTTTCGATACCGGTGCTAAATCGATACTTTTAAAATGGTACCGGTGCCAAAACGGTGCCTGAACCGATACCTTTTAGCCACAAAATTAATCAAAAAAAAAAATACAATAAAAAAAATAAAAAATATATATATATCATTATATAGATATCACTATCATTATAATTGAACCATATAAATATATATTTATAATAAGTTTAAAGTAAACATTAATTCATATTTTATATATTTGAATTGGATTAATATATTTATTTTGATCATTTGTTTGTTATAAATGTAAGATTTGCATAATGCTATTAACATTACATTAGCTTACTACTAACCTGTGGAAAGGCTGTCATCAAAATCAAGAAGCACCTTTTTTCTGGGTTTGAGGTTTGTGACTACTTTTACATGGACATCAGTGATCTAATGATTTGCCTTACTCTGACAATAAAGACAATAATATGATTCAAGTGTTTACATGAGCTGCTTTATGGATGTTACATTCATGATTACCAGTTACAAGTTATATCACAGATACATCAACGTCATTGCGTCACCAGACTATAAATGTTTCTCTGCACCAACATCTGCTGCATGTTGGTGTGTCAGAACCCTTGCTTGTAAAATATAGCCATACTGTAGAATGCTTAGTTAAGCAAATTAGATGAACGCGATACGTAGCGCACAGTTGATAGTAGCCTACACACCAGACGGGCACATTCGCATGCTATTTTAAAATGAAACTATTCAGATGGCGCTCTGTGGCATGGCAGAAGTATGAACAGTCATGAGTTGTGTCATTACGCCACGGACAGCCGCTGACTTGCAGATTCTAAAATACATGGCGTTGCGCGTCGCCGAGCGGCGCTTCCGGTGCGCGACCTGCTTTATTTTCTTGTTGGAGCACCGGAATTAGGCACCGAAATTCATAGGCTGATTTTATCCGGTGCATACCGGTTCCAAAGGTATTGGTGCTACAGTGGCACCGAGTTTCAGTACCCAACCCTACTACAGATAGCTCACTCACTCTTACTGTGAGCCTCTCCTCATTACTTTAGTTGAAACTACTGTCATTTCGCAATTCATTTACTGAGTTTGTTCAAATATGATTTGGAAAATGAAGCATGATCCATTTTTACATGTATCTTAGAATGCAAAACACCATGCAAGCATCAAAACCATGAGCCAAATAGCAGCATGAGCAGAGCACATTAATATTACTGACTCTTCCAAATCAGGTTAAAACAACTTTTCATCCTAGGGCCAAATTTCAGGATTCCAATTTGGCTAGTAAAACAGATTTTGTTTTGCACTTATCTTCTATGTCAGGGGTGTCCAAACTTTTTGGGCAGAGGGCCAGATGCAAAAAAACAAACGTTGTCGCGGGCCAAATTTTACATACATCACACAGACACGTATATATATATATATATATAAATACAGTTGAAGTCAGAATTGTTAGCCCCCCTAAATTGTTAGCCCCCGTTTATTTTTTCCCCAATTTCTGTTTAACGGAGAGAAGATTTTTTTCCACACATTTCTAAACATATTAGTTTTATTAACTCATTTCTAATAACTGATTTATTTTATCTTTGCCATGATGACAGTAAATAATATTTGACAAGATATTTTTAAGACACTTCTATACAGCTTAAAGTAACATTTAAAGGCTTACCTAGGTTAATCAAGTTAACTAGTTAAGTTAAGGTAATTAGGCAAGTTATTTTATAACAATGGTTTGTTCTGAAGACTTAAGGGGCTAATAATTTTGACCTTAAAATGGTTCATAAAAAAATTTAAACCGCTTTTTATTCAAGCCGAAATAAAACAAAAGTCTTTCTCCTAAAGAAAAAATATTATCAGACATACGGTAAACATGTCCTTGCTCTGTTAAACATCATTTGGGAAATATTTAAAAAAGAAGAAATAAATCAAAGAGCGGCTAATAATTCAGACTTCAACTGTGTGTAGATAGATAGATAGATAGATAGATAGATAGATAGATAGATAGATAGATAGATAGATCATAACAAGAACTGCTGTTTAATTGAATGCATGTAATAGCGACACCCGGTGGTTATTTATTGAATTACGTTCATTTTTGTAAAGCGGGCCAGATTGTATTGATATTTATAAAAAGCCTCGCGGGCCGCCACAAAACTGATTGCCTGTTCTATGACACGCCTGTTCTATGTAGATGGTCAAATAAATTTTTTTGAAAGCTGTCAATACATTCTATGGCATTTTTAACCAAACAATATGGCATTGTTTGTATGTTTGCATTGTTTGTATTTTTATGTGAAAATTTGTTGTTATATATATTGTTCTGACAAAATTTCAATTAACAGTTTTACATTGTCTTTGCTCTAAGTTAACTTCAAGTTTTACTTTTTTCTTAAAGGCATAAGACAAAAAAAAAGAAAACCCTGTTATATTTCACAGAGTATTTGTGATCATAGTGTATGTGATAGAGCCAAATTCTTAGATCGTTTAAGTTTTGATCTGAACATGACTGCTGTTTTTATTTACGCTAAAATGAAGGGAAGAAAAAAAAGGCACCAAAAAACCTACTGGTTACATAAAAATAGTTCTTGAATACGTGTAAGGATGCTCACTTGATGAAAAGAGCCATTTTACTCTTGCTCAACTCAGGCAGGTTTTCCTTTTCCAATGACCTTGTACATACCTGGAGACACAAAAGATACAGTGCTGAGATTAAAAGAAAATTTACTTAGATAAATGCATTGGTTTAATAAGTATACAATGTATACAATACCTCAAGAAGAAAACTAATGATATTTTTACTGGGTTTGAGAAGCAGCTGATGAAAAGACACACTGAGGATGCCACCTTCTAGTGCATCTCTTACTGCATTACACACACACAGTTTATTACACACTTCCTCCAGAGCACTGTCCCTGTAACAAAAGCAAGTATTAAGGGAATGTTTTAGATTGCATACAAGCTCTATGTACATAATGCATTACATGTGATTTTGGCTTTTAAATTAAATTGATGTAAATAGTGATTTACAAATTGTTAAAACAAAAAGTATATTGCAAAGTAGAAGAAGCTTTATTAGGGGTTCAAGCATGTAATGCTGAAAACCTATTATTATTTGCGAGGATTTTATTATTTTCCTTATGCCAAAAAACTGAATGACCAGCCCCAAACTTAGGGTCAAGAGCAGAGCTGGGCATTTTACATCCTATCTTGTGGACATCTTTTACTGGCCTACGTAAAGTACTTGATTAAATTTAAATTCAACCACAAATGATGCTGTGCAATGCAAAGGTTTGATATTGGGAGTCAACATAAGGGCCATTCACATTTTACGTCTTTTGCACAAGCCAGTTAATTATTTTAAATGGAGACTGGAAAATAGGAAGAGATGCATACGCAATATGACATCCTCACGTTTTCCAGGTGCAGTGAATTGAAAACATTTCAACATTTCAGAATATCATGTCAAAGTCATGCGACAAGAACCAACCAGGCAGCTTCACACTTTTTATGGACTATACAACATAATACCGATAGGCTAATTACCTCTGACAAATGATTGAACAAATCTGGATACCGAACCTCTCTCAGTGATAATCATTTGCATGCTGTACAACAGGGCTATTAAATTTGTTGAGATTCTCCCAAATAGCGCGACCAAGGTATCAAAAATATATTTAGTTTAGTCAAAAAAAAAAAAAAAAGGCCATTATACGAAGTGTCATGCATCTTTTTAATACAGCACGAGCTGCAGTTGAAGGCTGAGCAAGGCTTGAGCCACCTGACATTCAGTGAGTGGCGCAAGCAGCCGAAAACATTTGGATACCTAATCATAAAGGCCTCACAACGCCAAATTTTTGTTGCATTGATATTATGTAGTTTCAAAATACAATATATTAACACTTTAATGTAGAAAAATACATTGTGGGTGTCTTAAGGAGCAAAAATACAATATATGGGCTCTTATATGCTGTTGTGTCATCACTCATATTGCAAGCCTTATCTCTAAGGCGCCTCATTTGGGATGCTTTTCATGAACTGAGCCCCATGACAAACTAATTGAATAGCCCTGCTGTACAACTTCGTTTATCCACCTCAGACATTCAACCTAACCTTAGTGCACTTCCTCAAAACCAACACAATCTTATAAATAAGTGAATGAACGGACGAATAAATGAATGAACTAGGGTGAAACAATCAATCCCTGTGGCATTTATTCCTTTTTCATATGAAGTTGACATATTTTGTGATGCTGGTCTTTAAAATACATGCACTCATTGTGTAAACTTAATCATTTTTATTGTTTTTTTATGAATGTTTATTAAATAGTGACATAATTGTGTGCTCTGCATTTTATTGTCTAAACTTTGTTGACTATTGGTCCGGTCCTCTAAAAATTTTAAAAACTTAGAGCAGGGGTCACCAATCTCATTCCTGGATGTCCAGTGCCCTGCAGGGTTTAGCTTCAACTTACCTCAAAACACCTGCCTGGGTGTTTCAAGTACAGTATACCTTGTAAGACCTTGATTAGCTTGGTTAGGTGTGTTTGATTAGGGTTGGAGCTAAAATCTGCAGGACACCTGATCTCCAGGAACAAGTTTGGTGATTCCTGATCTAGAGCGATGGTAACCAACCTTTTTTAGCCCAAGATCCCTAGTTACTGAAGTTGCAACTGGAGCTAATTGTTATTGTGTGATCAAAGCCTGATTAAACTGAATGTGTAATTGGAGGTGAGAGGTGTATTTTTGAAGCTGTTTTCTGTCAGCAGTAAGAGCTTTGCATGCTGCATATGGGCTTTGCGTTTTCGCGGTTTAATGTTTTCAACTTGCTGCATGCTGTAGGCTCGTGCCTACCCTATTTGAGTATGCGAGCCATTTCTCCATTTGAAAAAATGAACTTCAGCATGCAAAAGACACAATATGTGATCAGCCTCTTATTACTTTAAGGCTCGCACCTTGTTGGGTACGTGATGTCATATGAAGTGCCGCATATAGACGTATGAAGTGCTGCATATAGATATAGGGCTGGGCGATAATTCGATATCGATAATTATCACGATATAAAATTTTTAATAACGATAAAATGATAATGACAGTTCGATAATTGCTCGATAATATTATTTACACATTATGCGTAACATTGCGCAAGCATTTTGCAGCCTGCCCTTCCGGATGCAGCTCGCCATACAAGTTTACAGCCATACAGTGTTACTTGTACTTAAAGGAAAAAGAAAAAAAAGGGTAAAAAGGTAAGAGTCACAGACATTGTTGAAAAGAAACGTCACTTGACCTCAGTCTTGAGCTACTTGGTTTTTTGCAATCAGACACAAAACAGCAACGTGCGCTGCACATTGCGCAAGACAACTCATGTCATCAAAAGCAGGCAACACCACAAGCCTGTTTCATCATTTAAAACAACCCCACCCTTATGAAGATGCTAAGAAATTACAGACCTAAAAAAGTGCTGGAAAACCAGGGCAGCTAGTCTCATGTCATCATTTTCGAAAGTGTCCTTTACGAGAAAAAAACCCCCAAAAAGAGATGAAAGATATGACAGACAACACAATCTCAATCACATCTCAATGAACACTTGAACCTTGCTCTACAGGCTGCATTAAGGATATTTACACTACAACATTTACACTAATAAAAAATAATATAATAAAGTAGTTAATTCAAACTATCAAACAAAAAATTGTTAAACTGGAGTAAGGGGACGATAGTGAAGCTAAACAGAAGAAAGAAATATAACAAAACAATTCTAATTCATGAATAACCCCTTACCTCGCTAAAAACTAATGAAAAGAAAAAAAAAGTCCTTCAGCGCAGTGCGCCGCATTCTTCCCGACGTTCACCTCTTACCTGATGTCTTTAACAATACATTTTCTACGTGTTTGCAAAATGTAAGTCGGTCGACATCTTCCCTATCCACCTTACTCTGAGAAAAGAGTGAACTTGAGATTTAGGATAGCTCAGTATTGTCGGTAAAGAGCAGAGCCAACAAAATAACATACAAATCAATCTAAATAAAATTTAACAAAACGCAAAAAATTTCTCAAAGTGGGCAAAATAATTTTACCCAAATGAAAGTTAAGCAAAAACAATGAAAATCATAATCATGTCAGCAAGCTACACCAAAAACGAGATCAAAGGAAAAAGCGTGCTCTCTGCTTTTCATATCACCATGCGGCTGTTCCATCTCTGCCTCACCTCCGAAACGCGGTCAGCTGCAGACTGCAGTTAATGAGCGCTTGCTTACACTGCGTGTTGTAGGAATGATTCTCCTCGCAAAGCACTGCAGTCGTGGAAATAAGCGATCTTGTTTCTCCCAGGACAACGGCAGATTTTTCTCTGACTCCTCCAACTGAAACTTTGAACAGTAGGCTGCTCTTGCACTTCCTTCATTATTCCTTCAATGTGTCATTTCTTCCCATTCTGCAAAAGCCAATCTCTGCTTTTACACTGATCCACTGCCATGTCCCGCTATACACCCGCAACCCACCTGCAATTAGCTAATTATACCCGACCTGCAGTTTATCCGCAGTGCCCGCAGATATAACCACCATTTACGCATCACTAACGGGAGGCAAAAATACAACCTTTACGGCTACAACCATAAGTTTCAGACAAAACTGCAATGTATTTTACTCGTGAATATGTCATGTAAAAGCACTTTACAAACACAGTATATGTATATATTTTTCATTAATTTAAACGGAAACCTATCTATCTAAATGAATCCTTAATCAAAAATGAGCATTATGTCTGTCTCTGCACAGAGATTAAGCCTCTCACCTGAGAATGTGGACATTGTGCTGTTCTGGAAGAAGAACTTCACTTAATTAAATATTCGAAATGTCCTTAGAGAGGACAAGCCTGTTTATCTTTTTCTAGTCTACACTGCAGTTATTTATTTATTTTTAGTTTACTTAGTTAAGATGGCTACACTAAAGATAATATATATATATATATATTTTTTATTAGTCTATATTGGAGGTATTTATTTAATTGTTGTTGTTGTTTACTCAGGTATCCTGACTGTACTAAAATGTGAAAACTGACAGTTTTGTGACCATTAACTCTCCTTTAATTGTTCCAAACAGGGGTTATTATTTTTTTTCTGATGTTGAACAATTATAACAGTAAATGCTGAATTAAGATTGTTCTTTTGTTTATTATTTTATTATTTATATTGTCAGACAGCTAAAACATTTCACTATATGTGTTAAATCAGCTGCAAAAAGCGACTGGCATACTGAAAATCTTGTAAAATTGATAGATCTAAAGATTGTATGTTTATCGTGATGAATATCGATATCGACTGATATGAAAAAAATTGTGATAATTTTTTGCCATATCGCCCAGCTTTACATAGATATATGAAGTACTGCATATCTGTGGCATCGCAATTGTTGGGTTGGCAACCACTGGCCTAGAGACTTGGTCAAATATTAGTTAGATATTCCAACTGTCACAGAGCTGGTGCCGCTTTTTGGCCATAGCACCTAGACCAAGGGTCTGCAACTTTTGTGACCAAAATAGCCATTTTTGCCTTTTTTTATTTTTTTATTTTTTTTAGATTTTTCCAGAGCATATTTGACTATTCAATAAATATAACACAATTTGTTGCTTATGCCAGCAGTTCTCAATCCTGGTCCTCACGGCCACCTCACTGCTTCTTATTTGCATGTTTCTGCTTTACACAACTGATTTAGATGACCAGCTCATTAGAAGAGAACTCCAAAAAGAAATCAACAATTTTCCTACAAAGTGTTTACTGCTTTCTACCCCTGCAAATGGGAAATTTGCTAAACTTTGACGTTTACTTCAAACTGTTTGCAACATTTTAATTATTACAGCAATGTGAAGGGTTTATTACCATAATCATTTGATTACCATAAAAGTCACATAATGCC